GTGAAGGTGGATGATGAGAATGCTCTCATGGATGCTGTGGCAAAGCAACCAGTTTCAGTGGCCATTGAGGCAGATCAAATGGCTTTCCAGCTCTACAAGAGCGGTGTCCTGACCAAGACCTGCGGCACCAAGCTTGATCACGGTGTTTTGGTGGTTGGGTACGGCACAGAGGATGGCACTGACTACTGGCTGGTGAAGAACAGCTGGGGAGCCACTTGGGGTGAGGAGGGTTTCGTGAAGCTTGAGCGTGGCAAGCCTGGCCCTGGTGAGTGCGGAATCAAGGCTCAGGCCTCCTACCCAGTGGTGTCTGGTTCTGGACCATCTCCATCTCCTCCTTCCCCTCCATCTCCTCCTTCGCCTCCTACTCCCAGCAAGAGTCACTATGAGAAGCCTCCTTGCCAAAGCGACGAGGTCCAGGCCGAAGTGGAGGGAGCTGGTGGCAGCGTTTGCGCTCCCCACTGCGACAGCGGCTCTTGCCCTACCGACGTGCCAACCGGAACCACTGCGCATCCCATGTGCATTCTGCAGGATAGCAGCTCCGGCGACAAGTACTGCGCCCTGGCCTGCATCTTGGGAGGCTGTCCTTCTGGCTCCAAGTGTGTGCACCTCTCCAGTTTGTTGGGAGTCTGCATCTACCCTGACACCCAGTCTCCTTTGAAGTTGGGACTTGCAACAAGCTCCGAGATCACTGTCTGAGCTGCTTTCACAGGTTTGAGGATAGGTTTGCTCAGGAGGCAGCCTTCCATCCAGTGGCCTTGGCCGATTGGGCCGGCTGCGCCTTGGATGCCCCTGTGCAATGTAGGTCTTTCAGTTCACAGATCCATGCCTGACCAGCGCAAAATGCTGTGACTTGCTGCAGTTCAACCTGGCAATACCTGACTACAAAGCGTTTTTTTAGAGACCACCTGGAACCGCAAAGTCGCGACTCTGTCAATACCATTCTTTTGATCATTGAAATCTAAATCTAACTGTATCACTAATTGGCCTTTCTCCAACCGTTCAACCATTGTTCTGCCATCGCCAGTTCTCTATCCGTTCGTCAGGATCGCTTGCTGAACTGCAAGGAGTCCTTCGCGGTGTACGAGGGAGACCTGGTCTCGGTGCTGAACATCTATCGGCAGTACGAAGTGTATCGCACCTCGGCTCCAAGGTGGCCGACTGCGCTCTGGCCGAGCACGTGCTGCGCTCGGCTGAGGGAACTCAGCCGTGCCAGTTGGTGGGAAAAGCAACACCCGTAGGCAGCCATCTTTGGTTAGTCTCTTTCTTCGTTCAAGACCTCGGCAGATTGGAGATTTCCAACATCAGGGTGATACGGTAGATGTGAAATCCGTTTATTGTAAGCTTCTGTCTTGGACCCAATATATTATTTGTTCATGTCAAGCTCCGGGCTCCGTTCTTTGTCCTCTTTTCTTCGGAACGTCCCCACACTTTCTTCGAAGCAGCCCCCCCAGTCTCATCTCGCACCTTCCGCCCCCCCGTCCTGGTGCGTCTGCCACGGCGGCGCCTGGAGGGGAGAAGGACCCCGAGTGGGCCAAGCGCCACCTGCTGAATGCCAAGCTCTTGGACCGCGCGATGAAGGCGCCGACTGAAGAGTCATTGAAGTCGGTTCTCCAGAATGGGAACCCTGACAATTTGGTCTGTCCAGATGAACCCACCCCCCAAAGGCCTAAGGGGGAGAGTTTAGGGAGGTTATTTTCGTATGTTTGGTCGTAGACCCTGACCTAGTAAAACCTGGACCTGAAAGCCTCCTTGAGTAGTGGTTTTGTATGACCAACTCCAGAAAAATGAGGTCCAACTGACCTGTAGGGTAGATCTAGGGAGGTCGAGTGAATGCAGATCTGACGAGCTTCTTTCGCCTACCAAGTCCTCGCCGCAGAGGATGAGCTCTTCTTCAAGAGTCTTGAAAATGGGCTTGACACAAGTGTGGAACAAAACCAATCAGGCATTGATCTAAAAAGACAGGATCTGGATTCTGGTCATACTAGGTCACCACCGTGGATTTTGGCATGCTGCAAGATTGCCAAGGTGCACCAACAAGCCTTAAAGATCCGTGATGGATTGTTTGGCAATGAACAGAGGTCCTGAATCGAGGGATCTTCCAAAAAGGTTTAATATTGAACAGTTGGATGATTAGTAACCATCCTTGAAGAAAGTGATTGTCATATTTGTGGGGCAGATGGGTTCCCCAGCCAAGCTGTTGAAGAAGTTGAGCTGCCCCAGGTGAAGCAGCAGCTGGGGATGTACCTGGCCAAGTGTGGAGGCCTAGGTTTAGGGATGGACAGCCAGGGAAAGGTATTGAACTAGAGGGAGGATTGATGGGCTTTGCCCAGTTTGTGGCTCTTTCAGTATGGGCACCTGGTAGAGCCTTCAACACGGCGCACATTTTGGATCATTTTGGTATCCCAATTGTTGAAGGATGACACGCACACATCGAGAAGCGTTTCATGAAGACACAAACCAAACTCAAGGCCATGAGCTGCCTTTTGTTCAAAAGCCAAAAAAGCTTGGCAACTGGGAAGGGCGGTCGCGCGTCGTGCCATTTCGTTCGCCGTTCTTGCTGGATTGAAGAGTTGTTTGGAAGGGTCCTGACCCCATTTGGTCAGGTTATGAGCCCAAGATCTTGCTGAAGTGAGGTCTTGGAATGTCGCTGCAACAGCACCGTCGTCGAAAGGCGACACAAGAAGAACTGAGGCAGGGACAAAAAGAGATGGAAGCAGCTCAGAAGAGGCTGGAAAGGGAGGCAAGGGAAAGTGGGGAACTCCCCATCGAAGATGAAAGAAAGGAAAAGGCCAATGGCAGTGGTAAGAGGGAAGGGGGTTTGGAGCTCCAATCCATCGCCGAGACTGCACAGGGCACTCCTTCGACGTCGGTTCCAGCTCCCAACGAAGACAGCCGGACGAGAGCTTCCGAATCGTCCAAGACCCCGCAGACCACTGGCAGGACTCCACAACCGACAGCCAGGACTCCTCAGCCGCAGGACCAAAGAAAGATGGCACCAGCTGAAGGAGGCGAAGCTGAAGTCAGGACACCTGCAGAAAGGAAGACCATGGAAGCTTCCACAAGAAAAGAAGAGGTTGGAGGAAAGGGGAATGGTGGGAAAAGGGTGGACCAAGACTGTGAAGAAGACACGACGGAGCCGCTTGTTGTGTCGATGTCAACTCCACCGGACTCACAGCTCCCGTTGTTCACAAGGGAACAGTTGCAAGGACTTCACCACATGTATGAACAAGCTCCAGCACTGTACCCACAGTTTCAAACCCCATACTCCGTCGCTCGGCCATCCTTTTTGGAAAAAGAAGAACCAGAAGGGATTAGAAGGTGGAGGATGGAGGAAAGGGAAGAAGAGTTAAAGAACTTTGAAGAAAGAATGAGGTTCGAAAGGACCGAAAAGGAGGAGTTGTCACGACAGCTGCAATACCTGATGGTCGAAAACCAAAAGCTCAGGACACAAGCTGCCAGTGCCGTGACATCGGAAAAGAAGAAAGAAGAAAGTGACTGGCTTCGAACACGCCATTTGCAGCAGGTGATTGAAGAGAATCGCCAACTCAAGGGAAACCTCAAGAAGCTCTCATCCCAGTTGGAGGCCAAGGAAGAAGAAGGCTTCTTTGCAACCCCTAATGAAAGTTTGGGAGTAGAGGAGGAAGAGATGAATCCTGGTCCACATGACCATGAACGAGAGTCTAGAAACGAAGAAGAAGCACGCGAAGGGTCAACAGGGAAGGGCAATGGGGGACGAAAGAAGGAACAGTCTTCCTCAGATGCACTCCCTCCACAAACCGTGGATGTGATCCTCCGACTGCTCCAAGGAATGCAAGACATCCAGAAGAAGATCGTCAAGAATACAGGAAAAGAAAATGGAGAAAGAGAAGGAAGCCCAGAAGTGGTTCAAAGAGGAGTTGAACTGCCTAAGCTTCCAGAATGGTCACCGGAGACTGGTCCCATCGACTTCTCGGATTGGCTCCTGGTGATTCAGCCGCTGATGGGGGATCTCAGCAGCAGCTCTGAAGAATGGTGGCAGGTGGTGGTGGACACTGCAAGGGCATGGTATGTTTCCCACATGGGGAAAACTCCCTTAGAGCGCTTGCAGCATCATCCTGTCCCTCCACCTCTCTTGGTGCAGAAGAAGTGGCAGCGGCTGGAAAGGAGAGCTTCCTCCTTACTCTTGGCTGCCATCCCTGAAGGGCTAAGGGAGGAAGTTGTTTCATCGAGAAGTTTGACCACCTTGGGAATCCTAACAAAAGGGATGACACAATACCAACCAGGTGGACTGGCAGAAAAGTCTGCCATCTTGGCGGCATTGGAGTCGCCACAAGAAGCACAAACAATTGCTGGAGGGGTCACCACCCTCAGAAGGTGGCTCCGATGGAAGAGGCGGGCAGAAGAGCTTGGGGTGTCTATCCCGGACGCCACCCTCCTGGTCAAAGGGTTGGGCCGCTTGATGAAAAAGCTGAGCGCGACACACTCAGACTTGAACTTTCGGCTTCAGCTCACAAGAAACCAGCTCATGGTGGATACGATACCAACCCAAGAATCTGTCACAAAGTACTCGCACCACTTGTTGGCTGAATTGGAGACTATGGGCCATCAAGCAAAGAAGAAGGAGGTGACAACAGAACCTCCAAAGTTGAAGAAGTTTGAAGAACAGTCAAAAGACCAAGGTACAAAAGACTACAAGGAGGTTGGGAACAAGGAGAAAAGCAAGTGCCGATTCTACCTCTCCGACAATGGATGCAGAAGAGGCAAGGGATGTTCGTACTCCCACGACCAAAGAGATGAAAAGAGAAGATGTTGGAATTGTGGTGGCACGGACCACATGGCTCCGGCATGCACCAGGCCGAAGGAAGGAAAAGAAAATCCGAAGCCAAAGCTTGCGAAGGCAGAAAAAGGAAAGGATGTGAAAGAGGAAGCAAAGGAACAAGAAGAAACAAGTGGGCCCATGCAACCGAGTGTAAAAGACCTACTGGAAGAAGCAAACAAAATGTTGAAGTCGTTGAACTCATCTCCCTCGTCATCCACTTCGTCTCCCACCGCTCAGGAAGGTTGCAAAAGCCAACGCACTTCGCCAGAAGGCATTTCGCCTCATGAGGTTGAAAAAGGGGGAAAGAGCTGGCCTACTGGACAGTGGAGCCACACACCCGCTTCGACCCATCAAACGAGGCGAGAACAAGGAGCTCTACGAGAAGGTCCAAGTTGCTCTGGCCGATGGACAGACCACATGGCTCCCAATAACTCCAGGGGGAGTGATGATCACTGAAGACCAAGACATCGAGCCCATCATCCCCATGGGACAACTGACAAGGCAGTTGGATTGCAAGGTCAACTGGTCGCGAGGAAGCTTGGAGGTGATCCATCCTGTCCACGGAAAACTCCCAGTTGAAGACTGTGAAGGATGCCCACAAGTCCCAAAGAAAGTGGCTATCCAGCTCATCGATGAGCTAGAACAAGTCAAAAAGGGGATGAAATTCAAGGAGGTGGAAGAGTTTGAAAAGGAGGTGAAATGGTTGAAAGAGCTGGTTGAGAAGCACCCGGTCTTGGCATCGCTCCCAGACAACATCAAGAAGGAGCTGGTCGTCATGCGCACGGAAGGATGTCAACTTCCAGCCAATCGAAGAAAAAGGAAAAGAATGAAAAGAGATGGATTCATTGTCCACCTGTACGCAGGTCCTGAAGAAGGCTTCACCCTGAGTCGAGCGTGGCAACAGATCGGAGGGAAGGAGGTTGAGCTGCTAGAAATTGATTTGCAGCGAGGTCCCGAACACGACATGCTGAAGTCCAACGGGGCATATCCGGCACTTCTCAAGGCCGTTCTGTCTGGACAGGTTCGAGGGCTGGTCGGAGGACCCAACTGCAGAACTAGGTCAGTTCTTCGACATTTTCCAGTACCTGGACCTGATCCACCACGTCCGATCCGAAGATGGGGAGGCGAAGAATTCGGGATAGAAGAAGCGACCCAAGAAGAAAAACAGAAGCTCTGGGAAGATGATGTTTTGCTTTGGAGAATGGTGTTTTTGGGAATGGTGGCCTCTCATTTGCGAAAGGCAAGAAGGGAACCAGATCCTTTCATCTTCTCTCTCGAGCAGCCAGCATCACCAAAAGAGTACAAACCTGAAGTGGTGTCATTCTGGGACACATCTCAGTGTGCTTCACTAAAAGAAGAATTTGAGTGGGAAGAAACGACGTTCTCACAACGACCTCTTGGAGGAGCTGCAACAAAGCCAACGACGTTTGGAGGGAATCTCCAACTGGCACCTGAAGATCATGTTCTCAAGTCCATGGACGATCGACAGGTCAACCACTCTTGGCAACTGGCGCGATGGCCTCCAGGACTGATGAACATGGTAGCAACAGCTCTACTTGCCCAGGCATTTCACCAACAGCCAAAGCTGAAGGCACTGTCCTGGGAAGAGCATTTGGCATTTGGGCACACGCCATCAAGAAGAGACTGCAGAATCTGTCAAGAAAACATGCAGCAGTGCAATCCTCACCGTCGAGTTCAACATCCACTAGCTGGAGTCCTGTCGTTGGACACTGCGGGACCCTTGACACCGGCGACAGACCAAGGAGGACAGTTGTCCAGATATTTTCTGGCTGGCGCTTTCACCTGGGCCGTTCCAACGGGATCCAAAAGAACCACGGAGGAGGAACCAGAAGAAGAAGGTGACGAAGAACTGCCAATGATTGAGGCGGAAAGGGAAGAGGAAGAAGATAAAGAAAGAGATGAAGAAACAGGTGAAGTCCAAGAAGATCGAGAGGTCTCAGGAGGACGCCGAGAAACGATCTCGGATGCAGAAGAAAGAGAAGGAAGGGAGGTGGGCCACCTACAGGAAGAGCTGAGTCCAGGGGGAGATGAAGCCACTCCAATGAAAGGCTCCAAACCTCCAAAAGACTTCGAAATCAAGACCTTCCACCTGGCACTTCCTATGCTCACAAAAAAGTCGCTGGAAGTCACCAAGGCCACTATGGAAATGGTGTTGAGGTTGAGGATGGACGGATACACCGTCAGTCGGATACACTCCGATCAAGGCCATGAATTTTCAGGCCAGTTTGCAGCCTACTGCAGGAAACGGGGAATCGTGTTGACCAAAACTGCAGGAGACGAACCCCAGGCGAACGGCCGTGCAGAATCCACGGTAAAACGAGTGAAAACGATGGTTCGGAAGGCACTACACCAAGCTGAAAAAGATGCGAGGTGGTGGCCCTGGGCTACAAGGTACATCAACGAGATCCTACGCTGCCATCGGATCTACGAAGTTCCATCTTTTCCAATGTTTATGGAAAAGATCCTGGTACGGAAACGACGCTGGCAGAGGGATGAGCTGGGACCAACTATGGAAGAAGTGTCCTATCTCGGTCCATCGACCGAGAACCACGGTCACTGGATCGTGAAGGAGGGTGAACGTCCAAGACTCACCCGGTGTGTCATGAAGAAGGTGGATCAAAGGCCAACAGAGGGACAGTGGATCGCCCTAGAACGTGAACTCTTGGACGGTCTAACCCTCAGAAGAAGGGTGAGGGGGAAGACCACAATAAAGAAAATACAAAAGGAGGCAGAAAGTGAGGAAGAGAAAGAAAAGAAAGAAAGGATGAGGATAAAAAGGGTGGTGGAAGAAGAAATGCTCAAGATCCATGAAGACGACCCTGACCTCGCGGTTTGTTCGATCCTCATTTTGGGGAAGCTCAAGAAGATCCTAGAAGAAGGGGTGGAGGAAGAAGAAGAAATCCTCCAAACGAAGATCGTGTCGCCAAAGGAAGTGGCGAAGGAATGGAAGAAATGGCTGCCATCGGCTGAGGATGAAGTGCATTCGTTGCTCACGGAGAAACAAGCACTCCTTCCACTCGCAGCTCAAAAGGTCACAGACTTCATGGAAGAGGCCAAAAGAAGAGGAGTGAAGGTCGAACTCATTCCTTCAAAGCTGGTGTTCGCCAGAAAACCTGGCAAAAATGGTGGAAAGCTCAAGGTCCGCTGGGTGATATGTGGAAACTTTGAGTCCAAACAGCCTGAGGAGATCAACTACTCAGGTGGTGCTGATGCCTCAGCATTCCGAATTATGATCCTACTGGCGGCAAGACACCAGTGGGAAGGCACAAGTCTCGACGTGAAGACAGCCTTCTTGAACGCTGAGATGACGTTCAAGGATGATGAACACTTGATGCTCGTCCTTCCACCCACGTTCTTTGTGGAACGAGGCTTCATGGAAAAAGACACCTACTACCTCCCTCAGAAGGCGGTATATGGGCTCAGAAGGTCTCCACGCCTATGGGGTGAACATCGCGATGAAGCGATGAGGAAGTTTGAGATCAAGGTCCAAGAAGAAGGAAAAGAAAAGAAGATGAAGTTGAAGGCGCTGGACTCGGAGCCCAACCTGTGGAAAGTGGTCTTCGAAGAAGATGAAAGTGAAGAAATGAAAGGCCTAGTGATGACCTACGTCGACGATCTGTTCATCGTGGGACCTCAAGAAATCACCGAGGCCATTCGTGAACATGTTCAAAAGACATGGACCACGTCAAGCCCACAGAATGTCTCCGAAGTGCCGATCAAGTTCCTGGGGATGGAAGTGTCAAAAGAATGGGATCACCAAGCTGAAAGATTTGCCTGGTTCATTTCCCAGTCCTCCTATGTGGAAGACCTGCTGAGTACAGGAGAGGAGAAGCTGAAGACCAGAAAGATCCCGATGACACGAGACCAAGCCTCGATGGAACCAACAGAAGAGATGCCATCACAGTCACAAATCCGCTCAGCCCAAAAGGTGGTGGGTGAACTCTTGTGGCTGGTCACCAGGACACGGCCAGATCTGATGTTCTCAGTGTCCAGAATGGGAGCCAACATCCTGAGAAGTCCACAAGCCGTCACTGAAGCAGGAATCCAAGCCAAAGGATATCTACTGGGAACGAAGACCCTCGGCCTCAAGTATCTCCTGAAAGAAGATGAGGAGTTGGTGCTCAACGTCTTCACTGACGCATCATATGCTCCAAATGCCGAGGAATCCCATGGATGCTGCATTGTGGTGGTGGGCTCATGTCCCATTTTCTGGAAATCAGGTCGCCAAAGCACAGTAACACTGTCCACAGCTGAAGCCGAACTCACTGAAGTGGTTGAAGGTATGGTCGCCGGGGAGTCAATCTCGGTGATCCTCGACGAACTGGTGGGAAGGCTTCCAAGAATGGCTTGGACTGACAGTCAGTCAGGGATCTCAATCCTGACGTCAGAGGGAGGGTCATGGAGGACACGACACCTTCGTCTCCGCTCAGCCTATACTCGCCAATGCCTTCAAGAGGGATTGTGGGGAATAGCTCACGTTCCAGGTGAGGACATGCTGGCAGACATCGGGACGAAACCTCTCACAGGACCCCGATTAGAAGACCTCAAAAAGAAGATGAACATGGCCAAGACGATGAAAGAAGAAGAAAAGAAGGAAGAGAAGGATTTGAAGCTAAGTGAAGAACAGAAGAAAAGTGAGGAGAAGAAGAGAGAAGGAGAGTGTGGAAGAGAAGCCGAAGAACAAACACAAATGAAGAAGGCCAAGACAGCTGCGATTTTGCGAGTGCTTCTCATTGCAGCGTCTCTCACGGCCACCAAAGCACAAGGAGAAGATGAAAAGGAGGAAGAAGCCATAGACTCCATAGACATTTCCTTTGAAATGATGGTGATGATCTACACCATGGGAGTGATCCTCATCACGATGATCGTCAGGTGGGTTGCGAAGGAAAGAGTACCGGGCCTGTGGTACCCTTCAAGGGGAAGATCCACACACCCAAGAAGTCTTCCCGTAACCCCACCAAAGACACCAAGAAAAATGAAGGCCATGAAGGTCAAAGAAGAAACGAAAGAAGAAAGGAAAGAAGAAGAAAGTCGGAATCTTCCAATGACACCGGTGGTCCCAAGACCAAGAGGGCTACCTCAGGAGATTCCAGTGACTCCTCCAGTCACGGTGAACAAGATGTCTTCCCAAAAGTCGGGAAAGAAAAGGGACACCATCATCACGGTGGATGGAACACCGTACAAGGTGCCTGACAACTGGGTACCACCGCAAGATTGGATGGAGCTTCCTAAAGGAAGGAGAACAGAAGAAGAAGATACTGATGAAGAAGAAGAAACAAAGAAGGCCTTGGACTTCCGAAGAAGACTCCAGGACCTGGAAGAAGAAGAGGAGAGAAATCCAACAGCATCCAGCTCTACACCAGCTGGAACCCAAGAAAGCACGCAAGCAGCTGCACCGAAGGCAGCACAAAGGGTGCCGTTCATCACACCCACCATGTATGTGCCTCCGATCCTGACGACCAGATTTGGAAAGGCCTTCCACTGCAGGGAAACTTGCGACTATCTGGTCGCTCCTCGGACAGGTGCAGCCAAAAGGTCGCCGTGGTGTCCAGACTGCACCAGAAGCATAGGAAGGAGGACGAATTGGAACATGTGGTCCAATTCCTGGGGTGGTGAAATCCACCCAAATAAAGCCTGCAAGAGGCTTCGCTCGGAGCCGCTGCTGCGGTACACCCCGTGCACTCGCTGCACACCTTATGATGGATGAAAGAAAAAGAAGAGGTGGCTTGAGCCTAAGAGGCTCGAATTTTGAATGGAAAGAAATGAGAAGAAATTTCTCTGGAATCATCAGGGACTGACGACCTGATGAAGGGGGAGTGTTGAAGGATGACACGCACACATCGAGAAGCGTTTCATGAAGACACAAACCAAACTCAAGGCCATGAGCTGCCTTTTGTTCAAAAGCCAAAAAAGCTTGGCAGCTGGGAAGGGCGGTCGCGCGTCGTGCCATTTCGTTCGCCGTTCTTGCTGGATTGAAGAGTTGTTTGGAAGGGTCCTGACCCCATTTGGTCACCAATATTTCTGTGATCAAGCTGAGCGAGTCCAAATTTTCCGAGGTGATGAACATGTCTCGACACAAGCTCGTGAAGAAGGGATTCAGGGTGGATTTAATCAAGTGAGTGTGTATGTTCCTTTTCCCGATTTTCATTTTGTTTGGGGCATGAGTTCTCTTTTGAATTGCTTCATCCAGCCATTTGGTCGGTTGTAGATTCTTCCAGCGCCACTCCTGTGCTCGCTTCTCGCCTTGTCCCGCTCGCTGACCGACCTCAGGTTCAACCTACCAGAGGAGAGCTGTGGCAGCGAGGCGATGCTCAGTTCGGGATTTTCCCCAAATTCGAGAGGGGAAATGACCTCTGTGAGCGTGAATTCTCTTTTTGGTATCTATTTTTTTTCCAATGTTTCCATGTTTCTTTTTCCATCTCAAGGCTTCACAGTTTGGACTCCGCCACTTGACTTATTCTTTTGGAGTCCGTTTTTTTGGACACGCGGGACATGGACGGAGAAAGGGACAGACATGGGAGACCTTTTCGGGTTTGGACCCTCAAGGGACCTGCGCCGCGCCTACAACCGTCGCGCGCGCCCTACAACCGGTCGTCCCGTGGAGATGTGAGTGGTATCAGAGGCAGGCGGGTTCCGCAGGGAAGTGCTTGCACTCCTGAAGAGACCTCCAGATAGATCAAACATTTAGGGCCACGTGGCCAAAAGAAAACACACGTGGGGAGTGGAAACCAGGCCTCACGGGGTGATGGGGCAATCACTTGGACAGGGCAATCGGGTGTTGCATCTCCACACGGTACTTCGCGACCCGTAAAGAGGATGGAGCGGCAAATGCCCACCACCCCACATTTTGTTGCTTTCTGAGGAAAGCACGTGTAAGGAATCCAACACTCGGTATGATGCCACCAAAGCTTTGGTGTCACACTACATGTGATCAACAACAGTGATCCAACACTACAGGGAGCCATGACCTTAGTTTTTTTTTTCTGAGCTGTAGATGACTCGCACGACCCATGCCACAACCGTGCAGCCACCTCTAGGTGGAGCGTTTGCAGCGCGTGGCGTGTGCCTCACTCTTCCTCAACTCTGCCAGGCGCAAGTCGGTGACAGTCGGTGCCTAGAGGTGTGCTGAGTCGGTAGCATCTTCCAGTGTTGAACTCCACAGGTTGGCACCCGACAGGACCCATGGCCCCAACGGCACCCGTCACACCCGACGGTGCCGCCTCGAGTGAACCCTTGAGGCGCTTGAACCCGGTTCCCGTCTCATGTTTGAGGCGCTTGCCCAACGGCACCTACCGGCTTTGCGGGGAAGCTTGGAGCCGAAAAACCCCGGAATAAGCCGCCGGAAGAGACTTTGCCAGCCGCCGGAAGATATGACTACTGTGATGATGGTTTCTTGGTGGATTTTTGTATTGTTGTTTTTGTTGATCAAAGCATGAAATAGAAGACATATCTCAGTTGGGAGTTGTGTGTCAAGCACAGTTGTACATCTTACAGAAACACGAGGTTTGGGAGCAGCTGGATAAAGCAGATAGTTCAGATTTATAGACACTCTGGAGTACATCCAAAGACCAATAGGACACTGGTAACATGTTCGGTTTGGTCATCTTCTATTGATGTACTCCCAGAATAGTTTTAGATTCTCGTGGAAAACGTCCCCTACTGTTTCGAACGGGTCATGCTTTGGTTTCTACCCGGACGCCTGGGGGCCCCGGGGGTCGGCCTCCAGAAGTGACCCATCGATCACGTCGCCGTAGAAGCTTCCTCTTTGTTCCATTCCGCCATGCTTCCCAAGGCTGCAAGTTTCATGTGGATTCTGTTTATGCCTACCAGTCTGTGTGAGGAGTCCATGATATATAGAATACTGAATACACTTATGATCAGTGACGGTCAGTGCATTTTGGGGCTTTCTGTAGCACAAACCATATAAAGCATGCGGACCGTCCGCATGCGAAAGTGAGTGGCATGCTTTGTGACGTTGCACCTCTCCTGCCCGAGCTTCCAAAGTGGAGCTGCAACGAGCAGCGCCGGCGGAGCCGCCCGGCTGATGCGGGTCACAACCGCAGGTGAAAACGAGTGGTTGTGGATGCAGAATCGGTGGCACAAAGGATCCTTTGGTTTCGTGGCTTGTTCCATTGATATACTCTGAACTATAGAGTCTATAGAGAATCGAACTTGGAAGAAGGTCTAGGTCCTTTTGACATTTCATTCCATTCAGACAGCTCAATGCCCAGAACAAAATACACTATAGAAAAACAAAAGCACACACACACACGAAAACAAATGGGTCAACAACTCTGTGTCTTTTATAATGAGCGACATGACTGACATGGCGGAGACGCTCCCTGAGGCCAGGTGGGGGACCTGGCGCACACCTCTCGCATCCCTGGCACACCTGACTGTGTAGATGTTTTGGAGGGGAGATCCTCAGTTTTCGGCTTCCTGGTCAGGGAGACTAGACACAAAAACGCATGTTGATACCCTATTTGCTGCCAATGCATGACGCGCTACAGCAATCCCTAATTTCAAGGGTGCCAATCTCAGAGGCCGTACTTCATCGGACTCATCACGTTCGCGTCGGGTGGTTCGGAGTGTGTTTTACACGACCAAGAGTTGGCAAGAGTTGGCATCCATTGAGGAAGAGAAGCTGTCTTTGTGAGTGTGACGTCCTGATGGGTGAGTTGGAATGCCAGGCTCCGCTTGAAAGGCTATTGGAAGTGCCTGGGCTGCGGTCTTTTGTGACCCTGGACCCTTGGGGAAGACCAGTCGGCTGGAGAATTCCTTGGAACGGTTTCTCCTTGACCAAAGGAACGCCCGGAACGGCCAGAGGAGATGAATCACGCCCTCGTGACTGGTGGTGTGTGGCCGCCCTCCCCTTTTGATCCCTGAATATTCTGACTGCCAGGCCTAAGAAGGGTGAACTCAGAGCTTGGAACTCGTAGGTCAGAGCCGACCAGGTTGACAAGCGTTACTGCTTGGAGTTCTGACTTGTCCATCACCCGTGTGGAGCAGAAGATTCACACCCCATCCGTCATGACTGATCATGGGACATTTGCTCCTGAAGGACCACTTGCCACTTTTCAGGAGGGACGCGCACAGCGTGTTCATGGGTTGATGGGAGGGAGTGGGAGAGTTGATCCTTTCAGAATTCCTGACTTAACCACCTGGAGCCTTCCCACTTGGAGCCGTTGCTTCGGGAGACTTCTTGCGCTCTGACTTTGTGTGTTGCGGGCCGACGGTGCGAGAGCACCAGAGGCCCTCACTGACTACGCTGCAGTCTATGCACAGGCCGGGGGGCTGGAAGGTTTGACGAAAACGGTGGTGGTGAAGGTATCCCCATCAGCGTCATACAGTCATACAGATCAAGTTTTGCCATGGTTGCGTTCTTATTTTGGCAAAAGACAGGGCTCGAGAGGCCAGAGGATTCGGTTGCAACAAAGGCTGTTGTTTAGACAGGAGTCACTACTTACATCTGCTTACTGTACTGCTTTTTTCTTGTTTTTCGTCCGTCTTTTCCGCCATAAACCACGTTCAGTGGAATAGTACAGCTACTAGTTACTAGTAGGTGGAAATTCAGAGAACATATTTACTCTTATGTACTTATGTACACAGAAACATGTTACAGTAAGACCATTGAAATAGCTTTTTGCGTTAGTCAAAGGTGTAAAATTGGCCATAGTATGGCAATACATGGTACTTGTCTCACTGTTATATACACATACCGTCACATACCTTTAACATAATGAACAGATAGCCACTTTCGACGCTGTCCCAGAAACTCTTGATTGTGTAAAGACAGAGCTTCCTCTTACAGTGATGTCATTGGTCACATGGTCCAAGGCCATGTTGACGAACACCGTGTAATAAAAACATCAAGCATTTCGGTGCATGGATGATTGAGATATCAGCGTCAAGGCACTTTCGCCTTGCCTTTACTCGCTTCCATAGTGTTCCCCAGTCAACAACTCATCCTTGCTCCCCTTGAGTGACTCCCTGAGTGATCCCCTCCAAGATGCGAAACGCTCTTACTGCGCCCAGTGCTCTCGTTTCTGACCACGGAGCACGGGCTCGCGCGCTCGTTTTCGCGCTCTCCGGCTCGGAGTGGTTTCTGCAGGCGGCGGCGGTGGACTCTGCAGAGCTGGGAGAGAAGCTGACGGAGCTTTTGCAGGAGCAAACTCGGCGCGGGTGGAGCGAGGTGTTTTTGTTGGGGGTCGAAACGGTTTCGGCATGGGGACCAGAGGCTTGGGGAGGTGGCAGCCTCCCCTGTTTAGAACGACAGATCTAAAGAGTGAGTTTGGGGGATCCATACCTTGGTTCTGGGGTCCAGAAGCTCAGCCATTCGCTCACCTCAAACCACAGCTGATAGGCTTGGATCTTTGGGTTGTCGGATTCGGCAGGGTTAGTCTTCCAGGGTCCAAGAATTCCAGCCATCCTCACTCTGGAATCCAGAAGGAAGATGCCACCTCAAGCAGCTCGTAGAGACAAGGGGGACTTTGTCATGGTCAAGCCGAGCTATGGCATGGGGGATCTATGTAAACCACATTTGGTGAGTTTTCCAGGTCACCAACACCATGAGTGGAACGCTTGTTTTTCTTTGACCAACTGGGGCGGCCGTGCTCAAAAGGCCCTGCTTTTGGGTGGGTAACGGCTTCTTCACCACCTGTCCTGTCCGGGCGTCAGCGATCCTTTCCGAAGATCGGGGTTTCTAGGCGACCAACGACCCTGGTGAGCTGGGTGACAGTGATTGCAGTAGTCATGAGGTTTGTATGGAAGAAGTCCATCTTTTGGTACTGCAAAAAGCATCGAGAGAAGACAAATGAATGGCACGACTGTCGGACTTCTGGTGCTGAACGGATTGCGTCTCTTCTATTTTTAACTTCTCAAACTCATTGTCCTTTGTGCCATGAGATTCTATTTCAGTATGCTATCCTGCTGAGGCAAGAGATCCAGAACCATTTGGATGGATTTCTCTATATATAAGGCATACTGGTATGGACTGACTCAGGCGGGATATCCAGATGTCTTCCTTCACGTGGTGTGTTTTCTGCGCAGATAAACACCTCGGACGTTTCCGCAGCTGATTTCAAGGCCCTAAGGCTAGACATATCTTTGATTGGGAGGAAAATACACTCCCCGAAAGAACGTTCATGAGTCATAGCTTCTTAGAGGAGTGGGGATTTGGGCATGCGCCGCAGATTAAATTACATGTGGTGCAGTTAGGACATGCGAAACTCATCGACGGGAAATGCGGATTCGCTCGAAGTGGAGTCCAGACCAAGACCTCCAAGCCACCCAGAAAGCCGCGCAAAACCCACTGATTTGGGTGGTTTCTGGGGAGAGGACACTCAAAACACATCCCAAATGAGAGAAGTCACTCGAAACATCCCAGTGTCGCGGACATCCTCCTGGATCAACCAAAGAGTTGATCCCCCACCCGGACTCGCCTGGGCGGGGCAAGTGTGGCACCTGTACCGTTCAGGCGGGGGGGCGAAGAAGAGGTCGGAGTCCTAAGAAACATTAGGCCTACTAGGCCAGGCCTTTAAACATGAGGCCTAGTAAGTACAAGACAGTTCTCCACGCATGGATCACTATAGGCTGACGTTTTCTTGTTTCTTCCTGGAAGAATCTTGCAAAGGACATCAATCCTTCTATGTGTGGACAAGATCCGCCCAAAGGGGACGAAGATCCGCCCACAGTCTGTGGCTTTGCTTCTTCGTGGCCCGTTGTTCGGATATGAAAAACACCAAAAGCGCTCCACACGCTCTACCAGGTGCGTGAGACATGTGCTGCGGCCTCTGCGCGCGGTTTCCTTGCAGCTGCGGGATCTTGGCAGCTTTCTTAGGTGAGGATGGGGTGGAGGGTGGTAGTGGTGGTTGAGGCAAGGATAGCTTCAGCGGTTGAAGTGGTAAACAGAAGAACAGAAGAAGAGTCACGGTCGCTCCTTACATGTGTTTTCGCTGTTCGGGCAGTGGAGGTGGCCTATGGCAAGCCGCTAGCCATCCATCCGTGTGGCTGATCCGCCCACCCGGCTGTGCCGGCGGCTGTCCTGCCTGGATGTTAAAGGGTTCACACCAAGTGTTCACTGGGACCGAGTCACACGGCACTGAGTGTAGAACGAAGTTCCAGGCCTGGGCCCAGACAGTGACGGAACGTTCATCGAACAGCATGGAACACGTCCAGCGGTTCCTCATCGTCACGATGCACGAGGGTCGGACGATTGCAGTGATTGCTTGGACAGTCAGGTCCTCACCGGTGCTTCTTAGCGGCCTCCATGCGATGTTCAAACATGCCAGTAAAGGAGACACCAGAAAGTCGCGATGTTGCAACTGGTCGTTCAAATACAACTGGTCTCCATGGTGCTTTTCCGGACTTCCCGGTTTCCACTTGCCCCGACTTTCGGCTCACGTATCACTCCGACGATCGCGTCGGCCAGCGCTGCGCTGAACGGTCTCAGAACGGTGCAGAACTACGGCCCGGACGAAAGGGGCGCGGGGCGCGCGACCGCCAGGCACCTTTTGCATCTTTTGCGGATCCTGTGCAGCTAGCAGCTTGGTTTTGAACGGTTGGACTGGGCAGAGTTTGGGCGGGCCGGGTGCTCGACCTACAACAAGATACTTGTGCCCAAGAAATGCTGTAGATGTTGAACGAAAATGGACGCGGCATGCCTCCTTTATATAAACCTTGTTGGATGCACAAAAATATGAACGAGCCACCCCGATGTGTCCGAAGACTTGAGTGTATCAGAGAGTTGCTGAGGGTAGATGGACAGCCATTCACTTCCACCCCCCAAACCTTTCGGTTATGTGGCTCCTTGGATGTTGCATGCTTGGTTGCTCTCTAGCGCCGACGCCCACAGATGCCAGCAATTCTCCAGGAGCCTCTGCGTTGCCAGGACAAGTTATTGAACACGGTCAATCTCCCCATGTGAATCCACCCATGTAGGGTGATCTTTTCTTTGAAACAGCTTTTTCCGCTGCCCCTCCCGGCCACCGGCAGGTCCGCTTCGCCTGTTATCCGCCACCGGCCGGACCAACACACGGTCGATTCTCGCTTCTCTCCGGCCGCTCTCGCCACGCGGTCGGTTCGACCGAGGCATCTACGTGAAGCTGACGCCGCTCTACACGACGATCTCGTGCCAACAGGCGAAGCTCCCCGAGTTGAGGAACTTTCATCTGGGCCTGCCCTTGGTGTCGCCCACCACCTTTGTGCCTTGGAGTGTGAGAAGCGGTGATGAACTTGATCGAATTCCATTCCGGATGAACTTGGGATATTTTTGGGTTTTGGCGCACCACAGCTAGAAGAAGAACTCATCCACCAGACACCTGGCACTTCACCAAAGAGCCCGAAGAGCTCTCATTTTTGCCTAGAGCTTTGAACAACTTCTTTCGCTTCTGCATATTTCTGCAAGCGCTTTAAGTTCTTCAAAGTCCTTGGACATGGGGGGGGTGAATGATGAAAGAAATCTGTTCTCCTGCTACGTATTCTTGTGCAAAGAATCCTTGTCGACAGGTTGTGCCAGTGACCAGCAGCTGTCAGGGATGCTCTGTTTGTGTGGCGAAACAATCCAAGAAGTCACAAGAGCGATATCACTGATATCACTGACAGTGATCGAAAAGACAACAGCAGACATATTAGCGTGCATTGGCCTGTTTTGAGTAGCTGTCTTTGGGTGGAGATTTTGTGCACAAACCGCGCCGCACAGCCTTCTGGGAAAGCCTTTCCCATCCTTTCCCCTTACGACGAAAGAGGGGACGACTCAAGGATTGGGATGCCATATTGCATTCTCTCAGCATGTCTATGCACTTTCAACTAGAGATAAGAAAAGCATAATCGTTACTTCAGTTGAACATGCTTATCCAACAACTGAATCTTGCTTGCTAGGGAGTGGCCAGAAAGTTCACCACCAAAAAGACTTTTTTTTTGCCCAGAAGACAGATTGTGTTGTTATGTGTTCTTTTGGGACAGGCATGGGGTGAAAGAAAACGCCGAGAGCAAACAGCGCAGCGTACAGAGCTACACTGCACCACGTTGGAAAGCAGAAAAGAGCTACATTGCACCAGCTACAGAGCTACAGTGGCCAAGGAATCACTGTAGCGGTCAGAATCACACTCTCTCTCTCTCTCTGAGTTTCCTGACTATTCCTGTTGGAGGAAGCCGCGGCGTGGCGGCGGCGCTCATCGCAGCGAAGCAGAGATCTGCCCACTGCGATCGAGTGCGTGTGGTTGAGGCCCGGCGGTGCCCATTGCGATGTGGCACTTGTGGAGGAGGAGGAGGAGGAGGAGGAGGAGGAGAACGAGGAGGAGGAGGACGACAGCCCTGCTGAAATCTAACGACCCTCACCTGGCAGGTGGGGAACTCTACTGAAAGCTAGAAAGAGGATGTTGTATCGATCTAGCGGACTTACAGTGGAGCAGGCCATTTCAAAAGTTAAGCATCAACATCAATAGCACGTGTATACTGTATACGACTAAATACGCGCATTGACTTGCACCTCAGCCCTGCACAGGAAGACCTCCTCTTGAGCAGAGGCATGGGGCCCCCTGCTTTCATGAACCCCATTAGCCCATTCGTGAGAGTCACCTTCTTTGCCCTGTACGGATGGGTGCCTCTCCTTTGTCTACTTTGTCTTCCTTTCCGCCTTCCTTCGGCGCCGAGGATATCATTGTGCAGATGAACTGCACCAATCCGAACCCCTATTCCATAGGCCGGCACGGTCGGGGCTGCCGGATCGACGGACGGACGGCAGATCCAAGCGCCGTCGGTGCGGCAAAGAGCCGCGACGGTGCTTCGGTGTGTTTTCGGTTGAGCGATCTGGAAGCTTCCCACGTTAGGAACTTTTGGCCGTATCTAAGTACCCTCCAATGAATTCTCGCTTCCTTGCGAGCAGCCATTGGGCGAGAGGGGCACTGGAAACACACCCAGTTCTTGCCCAAGACTTGCAGATTTTTCGGTTGAGTCCATCCATTGATGCCAGGCTTTGATTGGATCGAGATGGGCGGTGTGTTCCTGGGAAAGAGCATGACGAAACTTGGCCATAAGTCCAGGTCAACCACACCTCACAAATGGAAGCATCGGTTTTCTTTTCGCTCCACGCAATATTTTCTCACAGGCAGGCCCTCGACCATGGGCTGTAGTATTCAAGTGGTCTTGCTTGGCCGTGGCAAGTTTCCTCAAAACACACCATTAAGCTGTATCGTGATCCGCCTATCTCGTGTCTGCTTTAGTTTAATGTCTTGGAAATTGATTTCAAAGGTTTTCCTTTTTTCATAGGGTCAACAGAACAGGGAGTGCGACAGGGTTGAGTGGCCTTGATGCCGCAATCCATTTCTGTTTCCGCATCAAGAGGATTTCTGTGCATGTTGGGGAACTGGTTCCTGGATCACCGCCTCGGAAGCCTGTGAATATTCCTGAGAGTCCGAGGGTGCGAGCCATGGAGTGCTGACGTACAAATGTCATGTAGACGGTTGATGAATGAACCCCCGCATAGGAAGATGGAAAACCATTTTGGTATTAATCAACAGTCGACATCAATTTTTCCACGGGTGACATGGCAATGATTTGTATACTTGCAGAACAATGACCATGTGATATTACTGGTATCAGTATTGAACAAGTTGAATTCACCAACAAACCGTTGGCTTTCCTTTGCTGTACCTGTACGCCTGTACAGAGTGCCTCCTTTAGAATCCCTTGCAAATAGGCCAACAATCCCAGCAATAACTTTCCATCACGGCAGCACCAGGATGAATCAATCAACTTATATGTAGAGCTATCCCCTCCCACCAATTGTCAGTAGAACTGGCTCACTACAAAACAGCACAGGTCCCTACTAACCAGCATCATCCAGAATCATCCTCTCTAGAACCTTCTAGAACCGTATCATGGTGACAGGTGATAGATGTTGCCACCCCCAGATCCACCGATCCGCTCTTCCTACTGATCGCCCACCTTCCAGCTGTCGCCACGCCACACGAGGAAGGTGGGTGACACCTCTGGCGTGCCTGGCAAGACCAGCTTCTTCCCAGCGGTGACCTGGCTGTTCGTGACCTCGCACGTCGTTGTCTTCCAACACTCCTCGACCTCTTTGGTCGGAAGTGAAGTGACTGGAGGGTTTTGTTCTGGTTGGGACAGGTTGTGCATGGGTTTTCACATCAATTGAGAGGTACAGCGTGAACAATGTTTGCGGTGCCGAGAGCCGTAAATATAATGAGAGAGCATTCTAGCATGTCCATATGCGACAGGCTGATAAACCTGATTGGCAACGGACTTCATGAACTTCTATGTTAATGCCCCACCTGATATCGCCATGATCGATGGTTTGTATTTTTGGTAGGATCGTTAGGACGGCTTCGTGAAGGTTCGCTACTATGTGATTTACCTGTGCTGAAAATAGACCAGCCGAAGCACATCGACTGAGGACTTTCTACCAAGCTTCGACTGAACTGTCGATGGAAGGGATTAATCGTAGGTAGAAATACTGTAATTACTTCGGCGGGCAGGCTGAAAGTGACGTATTTGGGTGAGGCTTCCAGATATCTGCGGCTGAAAGCAGCTGTCCTTGGCTGCATGCCCTCAGTTGGACATGCTCGGTGGTTCACACATTGCCACACTAGGGGTGATGATAGAAAGGATTCTCGAAGCTTCCAAAGAGAATTGGACCCAGTCATGATCATCCAACCTCTGTTGGAATTTGACACTCCAAGAATCCAGCGTGAGCTTCGAGGGTTTCCAGCAACTTGTTCAGCTCCGCCTCAACGGACTCTTCAAATACCTGGAACCCAGCGTAGAGTCTTAGAGTTCTCTATTTCAGGTCGTTTCCCTCAAGTCTGCCGTGCCCGAGGACGGTTTCGGCTCGATTTGGGTTCGAGCCAACACCACAGTGAACGCCTTACTGCTACTTGGTGAACATGTGTCTTTGGTGGATCGACTCGTTGAGGGTGGTGTCCTGATAGGATATCAGGGGTTTGTGCTTGGGAACTCTTGGTAGGTCTCCAAGGTTTTCTTGTCCAGCAGATCTGATCTACTTGATCAAGAAAAAGAGAAAAGGGGACAGGAGTTCTTTGATCCGGTTTGAGCGCCCTTTCTTCTTCTTCTCCTTCTTCTTCTTCTTCTTCTCTACAAACCTTTCTGGTAGGTTTTGGGGGTCCTTTTGGGACAGCAGTGCGGCACCTAGTGAACGACTCCAGCCTGCCCTGAAAAGGGCCTCCGGTGGGCATCGCTTCGCCCTCGTAACGACCAACCAGTTATCTACAACAATATACAACAATTGCGTTTGTCAGCATTATGCATGCAGCCCCTGAATCAACCTGGAACCCCCCCTTAGACACGTGTTTGAAGATGAGTCGTTTCATTTTGATTGAACTCCTGTTGGTTCAATCGTTTGGTCTCCAATCAGAGACCAAGCAAGTGAAGATGCAGCAAAATGCACACATCCCACATGTTTCACACCTCCCACCTCAAATCATGATTCCCCAGCTTCTGCTTCTTTCTGGAATCCTGCGAATCCGCGGACAAGCACAAGTGACAGTGACCCTCCGAGGGTTTCATGTCTTTTTGTCGCCCAATGTCACGCGCGAAGTGTGAGTCTGTGGGCAGCGACGCCAGTAGCTTCATTTGAGTTTCATGTCCCCGTGTCCCTCATACTCTATCAGTCCATTGAGCATGCATACGTAATCGATGGTGGACAAACTTCGCTGTGAGGGAAGGGATTCAAGTATATATGTATATATATATAATATATATATATATCTCGCTCAATCATTACTTTTCCATAAAGCTAACTCAGTGGTTTACATCAAGCTGGTTGGTACTGCGGCCAACTTCCAAGCTCTTTCTTCACTTCCCGTGTGGTTCTTCTTCAAAAAAGAAAACACACATACGCACACAAAAACCGATGCCCCACATTGCCAGCTGGCGCCCCAAACCCACCGTTCGCTCCAAACGCCCCAACCCTTCGTCCTTTTTCAGAGGAGCGCGGCCGAGCGACGCCGGTCTCCTTGCGTCCGAAGTCTCGAGGATCACGGAGCTCCTGGGCGACGTGTTGACCTCCGGCGGCGAATTGCCCTTGAAGCTGCAGCTGCGACAGAGGCCCGGTGGGACGAGCGACGCCGAACGGCGATGCCGAACGGCGAGACGAGGGAGGGAGTGCGTGGTGGTCGAGGGCAGAGGAGGTTAGCTGTGCGGGGTTTCAGGGTGGCGTGTGCTTGCCGGGTTTTTGGAGGGTTTTCGGGACTGAAACTGCAGGAAGGTGGCAGTTTTTTCAACATTTAACCTACAGCCGTAGTGACTACTAGTGCCTGGGCTGATGGTGGAGGGACTGGGTGTGACCAGCAGCCGTTTGACCCGGGCGCGCCGGGGTCAGGGTTAGTGAGAGGGTGATATGCTCGACGGAAGCGTGCGACTTGGCGAGAAAAAGACCACCAATCTGTCGGAGGAAGAACGGGTAGAGGCGGACTTGAAGCTTCCAGGACAAGGAAGTCGACTTGAAGCTCTCAGGGCGGACTCTGCACAAAGCCCATCCGCGATAGCCCATCCGACCAGCCCACAGACAGCCGACAGCCTGCGAGCAGGTCGACAGTGGCGTGGTGTTTCAGATTGTACACGTTGTTGCAATACAAACAAGTCTGATGTTGAGATTGTATTTTTTTCTAATGGACCTGGTAACCCGCTCTTGTGATAATCTGATAGTACACTCCTCAGTACTGTTGATGCCGAACCTACGAAGTGTTTCTTGCACTACTTGCAATTGATACTCTAAGACCAGTTTCCTTGGCCTCTGGTGGCCTGTTTTCCAGCCCTTCAGACCAAACGTCTTACAGCGCACTGGATGGCACGGATGGCCCAGCATTTCCCCGCAGGCTGCACGTGGATGTGTCGCTGATGGCTGGCATCGGCAAAAGCGTTTCCCAGCTTTTCGAGCCACTTGGGAGCGAGCGGTCGACAAAACACATGGTGACGGACCTTCTGGCTTCCATGTGGGGGCGAAAAAGAATAGCAAGCAAAGAACTGCTCAGCTTTTTGCGGCCAAAAGGGTCCTCTTAAAACAAAATGCAGGGATTGGGCACTTGCGAAGCCACGGAAACAACCTGTGGTCTCCTGTCAACAAGCAGACTCTGGCGTCGCAGAAGCTGCGGAACCAGGGGGAAACGGCCGGGTCCTCTTGAGGAACATCACCGTGGTTTGGCATTCCATGCTTTCTGGCCTTGGGGTCCCCCTTCTGGACCCTGAGAAGCTTTTGTAGTCAGAAGCTTCTAAAAAGTGTCTTCAGAAGGCCTGTGGGTTTACCACACCAAAAATGATTGGGATGTTCTGGTAGGGGGAAAGCAACACTCCTGTTCTTGCCAGTTGCGTCCACCCCACGAACACTCCAACATTGGTCCATCAATCTTCTTCATCCAGTGCATCAAGTATGAGAGGGCTGGCGATGGTTGTCTACATTGGCATAGATCTGGTCACGCGGGTTCGCAAACATGATCTTCAGGAAGGAGTGCGGAATGATGATTGCCAACCTTGGACTACGGCCCAACATTGGCTCTTTGGCGAGGTCTGGTGGATTTGGGTCTTGGTCGGGTACTTGAGACCAGTTCAATGCGACTTTGATTTTTCTCGGATTGAGACATTCAGACAGGATCCTCCCTTCGATTGGAAGGCAGTTGATGCCCATCTCGTTCCCATCTCATCCGATGCCCTCCGGGTCGACGCACGGGGCGAGACGAGAGGCGGAGCCCACCAAAAGTCAGGTAGCAAATTGCGCATTCCACTGATCGTCACAGTGTCCATCAGTCATCGGAATTTCTCAATCTTTCTTTTTCATCTCCTAGTGGATCGCCGGTTTCTTTCTTCCTATCCTTCTCACCAGACTGATGCAACTTCCACCAACCCTGCCCAAGACTAGACAGCTTTTTTGTGGCTCATTTCTATACTTTCTATATAATCCGAGAGGGGCCGGAGCGATCATCGCCACTCTTGTCGTCACATATCTAAAGCTTTCATCACAGATCCCAGCAAAAGTGTTTCCCACACTTCGCTTGTTTCATTCTGTCCCGCTCACACCCCAACATCATTCAGCCGATACTTTGCTCACGGGTGTTTGATAAAGCTGGGAGTCATTCCCAGGTTTAGCACCTCAGGTTGAGGAACAGTGGATGCACACTTGGTGACCTCAAACATCTTCTCAAGTCGTTCCGGAAGTCATTTGGGTCATTTGGGTCTTTCCGTATCATTGAGACACAGACGGGCATCGAGTGATCTCTTTGGTTCTGTTTTTTTTCTTCGGTAAAGAACCGTGAAGTGACCCTCTGAGAAGTGACACCCAGCCGGCAGTTTCAGCCCGTTGTTTGGCTGAGATCTCCCCAGAGTCAGACTCAGAAAAGAACCACCTCCGATCTGAATTCCCCCCAGATGGTTCAAGAACTAAGAACATGGTCCAGACCACGGATCCGAGGACCGATGGCCTGTGCCGACTCCTTCGATCAGCTCGCCATCCCTCCGGTGGGCGCCGACGTCTTCGACGGCACGATGCGCAGCTCGGGCCGCCGGTGGCGAGGCGACGTCCGTCTGAGAGAGGGATTGGAAGACCTCCAAACTGGCTGGCGCTGGTTTCGTGCTGAAGGAAGGAGTGTGAATGGTGTTGGGAAGTACGTGGGATTGTGTTCGTTTGGGACGTTGAATGATGTAGAGGGAAAGATTTGGAGAAATGGCTGCGCAAGCAGGTGGACGAAGGTGACTCACGACCTTTTCCTCGCGCACAAATCCCTTTGGAGATTCAGAGGGTCTACCAAGATCATGAACCTGCAAGCACTGGCGAAGTACTAGTGAACCCATTTGTGGTTCCATCAAGGTGATTTAGATGAATCTTGGACCGCTGCGTGTTGAAGAAACTCTGAAAGGCCTTGGGCTCTGATGAGATCTGGGCGGGAGAGAGCAGCAGAAGTTCTTTCTTTTGGAATGAAGCACCCCCTGCCTGAAGGGCACCCAAAAGCATGGTTTTGGAATGCAACAGGCCCCATCTCATTTCAAGTTTCTTGTCACTGTTGAACGCACCAAGAACTCTGCCACGAACTTCGCTGAGGCTTCTCGGCGAAACAGGTGGCGCCCAAGAAGATTCAGGAGCGACTGGGAGACTTCCGGCGGTGAAAAATGCCTGGAGCAGATACAGCTTCCCCAGGTCACAGCCAGTTTGATGTTGAAGACTTTCGCAACAATTTCATGTTGAAGGTGTTTTGTCCTGCCAAATTCAGAACCCTTACAAACGGGAAAAGGGTATATAATTTCATGACAAAGCTAAGGCCCATCGCTGCCTTTCGGCCGTTGTGGCCATTCTCAGACACTTCACAAACTTGGTTTTGCCCCCCAGCCATCCCGATGCACCTTGCGCCTTGCGCCAGGAGGGCATGGACTTGAAAAACTGGAGCTTGGGCATCTCCATGGCGGTCTTTTGGCTTCACACGGCGACGACCGCCGCCGTTTCCGGGCTGTTGGTCTGCTGTGGACGATCGTGGGGACGACACCTTGGGGCTGATCTTGTGAGGTCGATGGCCTCCGACCTAAGAGCCATGGATTCAGGCCTCCAACATGCACAACCTTTGAACCCTCATGGCAACGAGGCTTGTGATAGGGATGCTAAATTTTGGTTTGTACAGCAGGTTTGGTCTTTAGACCTTCGATGCTTTCGCCAGGATTCATCCCTCCATCCTTTTGGCACGATCCAAAGAGGTCGATGTTGCCACCAGAAACAATCCTCTATCGACGGTGTGTCACATTACCAGAAACAGCTGGTAAAAAGATGATCAATTATCACTCTTTTCGATAAAGGCCTTGAACCTAGCCATTATCATCCACAGGGCGTGGTCATGGGATACACCCAATCCTCTATCTCTTCTTGAAGAATTTGCCATTTCTCAGGTCTTCTTCACCTTGGGACTGGTGCTCTACATCATGGCGGGCTGTCAGTTCTGGCTGCTCGACTGGGACGATCGTTTTGTCGACAACAATATGCCACATGTTTCAGAATTCAATCACTTTCTTCTGATGAGGTGACGCAGACATTTTCCCCTGGGCAGCTGCTCCCTCAAAAATAAAGAACCAAAGCCGCCAAAGCTCATCTGCTTTTGGACTACACCTCATGGACACCTCTAGCACCTGCTTTTGTAAACATCTATAGAAACACCTCACGGACTACACCGCTCCACACCGTCCGGTTGCGACCGAGGTCGGTCTTCCGGGGCAGCGACCCGAAGGTGGGGCAGGGGGTTTGGACCGCTTGGACCGCTTGAATACCGGTGGAACCCCGGGGGCGAACCTCCCGGTTGGTATGGAGAGGTCTTTTGCAAGGGTAAAACCATGCTGGAGACGGTGGGAGGGATGGGAGGGTGGAAATGACAGAAGATGCCACCTTTTTTTTTTGTGTGTTTTTTTTTCTGTTTTCAGGTCAAACACTGTTCTGATCATTTCTGATACAAATTCAAACATCCCTCAGATCATGCGACGATGCGACTCGGCCACTGGAAACTGGTCGGGGGTGGTGTAGCCACCGGTCCGCTAAGTGAGCCAGTGGATGACATGGGTGGGATTTGGGTGGGACTTGTCCACCCATCGACTCACTGACCCAAAGCATGGCGGTATGGCCTGACAACCCATCGGGTCTATGCCCATCCTTCTCAAAATCATTCGGAGCACGCCCTCCACTCCCACCTGGAGCCCGTACACTGTAGATGCTGGGGCCAACCGGGCCAACGGACCTCTAGAAAAGCAACAACTTCTGCACTGCCCATCCAACAAAGCACCCTTGCGGTTCCAAGATCTCTCCCTTCAACACGCGTCACGAGCGCATCACGAGCGCGTCACGTGCTTTTTCATGTGCGATAAAGGGCAAGCACCTGGAGATGGGCTCCTCGTCAGTGCCTGGGCAACTGTGGGACTGGTGGGTTCCTGTTGCCAGACGACGGGCAAGTCTGGCAGTTTTTTGGGTTTCAAGTCTGGATTCTAGATGTCTTTTCTTCGTTGTAATAGATGCGTTTCCCGGGTTTGCGTCGTTCGTCGTGGTTTTGCAAGTCTTGCGCGCAGTCTCCATGTCCCTGCAATGCCCCGGGAGTTTTGGCCTTTTTGCTTTTCAGGGATTTGGATTCTTGTTTTGCGTGGTTTGGATCCTTTCTATCATTTTCGTTTTCAGGTTTTGTATTGTTTCTGCATGGTCGAGTCCTTGTTGGATGCTTTCTGCATGATTTTGGCTTTATGCCCATCCATACCCCAAGTCCCCAGAAAACAACACAGTCATATACACTGTTTTGCACCAAGGTCCATTCAATGATCACAGGGCCCAGGGCCCACTCGCTTCAGAGGTTTTCTTTGCTTCCTCCAAGACCGAAAGCTGATGACTTGCACGTATGTGGACGTCTCAACTTGTTTGGGATATCTTTTTTAGGCGATCCTGTTGGAGCTCTTCTGTCTTGTTGGTGATCCTGTGGTGCGTGGATCCATCATCACGCTGCCTGAGGAGTCCAGCTGTGAGTCGGGGGCTGAGGGCAATGCCTGCTGAGCTGCTGAGCCAGGAAGTGATGCAGACCTGTCTCACGACTTCTGTGACGGCTTGCCGGGGGGAACACCCTGGGGACATTGGCTGCCAGTCTAAGGATATGGATGGATATGGCAACTTTGAACGAATCATCATTACATCTGAGCATGGGCCACTAACAATGTAGAAAGCATGGCAAGTGTCCACTAATTCAAGGAGTTTTGGTACTTGGTGGGGTAGGAACCAGAAAATGAGTTCAAACGCCAAGTTGAAACGCTTTTGGGCGCACCAAACTGTAGCATTTTTGAACCACAATGCTCAACCGGAACAGACACGGATGCGGCAAGGCCATCATCAACCGTGTCATCCACAGTTCAACGACAAACACGTCTGATGTCAACGATCAGTGGTGTCTTGGGTCTCTTGACGCAAGACACCACGAAATCGCACATCAAACGCAATAGATGTGAAATGTCCAATGGCGCAGCATGGGGGTCATTTGTTTCTATTTTTGGGAGACTTTGGTGTGGCTGGTTGTGAGTCGTCAAGAGCGGAGTGGGCTCGTTGAAGCTTTTTGGGGGGCATCACCCTGGACCCGGGCGTGCATCACCCGTGTCCCACGACGGTGGGCAGTGCGGGGATTGATCCAACGTCTTTGCGTCTACGCGATCGTGCACATATGATGAAAGAAGATGTCAAGGTCAAGGCATGCAGGCAGAGTGATTTCAAAGATGCACGTCGACACGAAGTTTACAAGACCCAAACTGACACGTCGTCACGAAGTCGAGAACAGAGTTTCGATTCGAGAACACCGTCGAGAACAGAGGCGTTTCGGGACACAGGAGTCTCACAAAGGGTGAGACAGTGAGACCCTCCAGACCAATGTGTCAACATTGGGGCTCCACAGATTGGGTGCCAACTTGAGGGATTGGCCCACAGTTTGGGTGAGCAGGCAGGGACGATAGCTCCTGCTGTAGCAGAAAGGGCAGGATGATAGCTATGGCTATGTCCTACCCCAAATCACAGCTCTGATAGCTCTATAGCTCCTGTTTCTGTCCTTGGATAGCCAAAAGTGGTGATAGTGGATGGAGAGTAGATGGCACAATCATTCCCCAATGCCAGTGGGTTATATGGATCCCATCTAAAAACTAATGCAGGGGTTTGTGCCATCTGTACTGAAGAGCTCTACTCGAATGTGTCTTCCAATTGACCCCCCGACCCCCAAACGGCCAATCTTTCAACCATGGCCAGGCAAATCGTTGATGGTGTTTCGGTGCTCGAGTGCACAACGTGCTGAGTTCTCCACTTTCTTGTTTGGGGTCTCTTAGGCGAAGCACCATCTTTAAAGCGATCAGTTTGGCTGTCATCCCATGCTGAAGGCTTGGCTACAGATGGTTTTGGTGACCTGACACTGGATCGGCGCAAAGAGCCGCTGTCCAGTGTCGAAGTGGATCGTAAATGATGCACAGTGGAGAAGACCTCCTTGGGAACGAAGCTGTCTCACTTGATGGCGAAGTTATTAGATTAATATGCTACCCAATCCAATCAGGAATTGGATGAAATGCAGGCACCCCTCAAAGACAATTGTCCAGTACACATGGGTGCGTTTTCCACTTTCCATGTATGTCCAACTTACAAGAACGGGAGACGTCGGAGAATGTTTGCGCCATGAGATATGATACCTAATGGGGCTTCAGTGCGATGGTACCTGGGTGATACTCTTTTGATTCCGGAGATAAACACCCTAGATCCATTAGACATTTGATTGGTAAACAGAGAGTCGAGTGCAAATGTGTTTCTACTAGCGTGGTTTTCAACAAAACTCTAATCACAATTGTGGTCAGTACATAGTGAATGTCAATCTCAAGACAAATTTTGGGTGTGGTCTGTGTTGGTGCCAGACACACTATTGCCCTTTCTGGGACTGTTTCGTTGGGATTGCTCAGACAGAACTGTTTCATCATTGGGACTGAGACGCTCGACGAGTCTCGACCAGATGTCGTGTAACAAGCACACAGATCGTGAGAGCAGATGGCAGAGGCAGTTTAAGGGGAGTTCGAGCTCGGATTCTTAGCCTCTGTCGTTCCTGGACATCTTCATTCTTGGCCAATGGCAGAAATGACCTGGGGTGAGCAGGGATGGATGCCAAGCAAGCAAGCATGTTCTGGTGATTCCAGCACTCAGCGCAGGTGGGCTACTCGAACAACCAAGATCGCAACCCATAATATCTTCTGTTGGAGGACTCATTTCCGCCCTAAACTCTGTTGGCCCATGCATTCGTCCAAATTCTGCGGTCGCTCTGAACGAACGGAACAGCGGCAGTGATCTTGCTGGGTGCTTGGTACGAGGTCCTTGCTGACAAATCATCTTCTTTCATGGTTGCTGGCAGTAGGACCCTACCAAGATCTATCAAATCCATGAGTGATCGGTGGGAGGGATCCATCTCCTTTGAGCACGATCGATGATCCCACCCCGTTGCACAAGACAAGTGTGATGTTTCAACAAGATCAATACCAGCTACTATATTCAATTATGATAAATTAATTATGTGTGTTTATTTGATTCTGGGGACCTTGTGGGAATGCTATGTATGTACCATAGATTCGGATCTCCGTTCATCACACAACCATCCTCAAGTAGGTAAACTGTGGACATTTATCATGGTGCGGCTCAAGACCAACAAACAAAAAAGAGTAGGTGTTCTTTCGTCCCCAGAAAAGACCATTCTATTCGATTCCTGGTGCGACCAGCCTGGCCTCGGGAATGACATGAGCCTCCACTTTTGAGTCCTTTGAATCCGTTCGAATCCATGTTCCGTACGTCGGCTTCGCATCTCTCGGTCACTGGCGTTGGGGGTTGGGTTCTGTTTGTTGGCATCGTCCGGGCCCTTGGAACGACCCCAGGGGTGGTCAACCCAACATACGTTTTTTTTTTTTTCCACCGCCGTTGTTTGGGGTGTGGTTTGTTTTTTTGGGGTTTCTAAGCCTAAGCCTAGGGGTCCATTTGGTCGGAAACAGCACAGGGTTTTCCTTCTTCGACCAAGCCAACCCAACCCGAGCGACTCCGTGCGCCGGTCCAGGAGCCACGCCGCGGAGGTCAGGACCGAGACTCACACGTCGGCGGGATGTGCCCCGCAGAGTTCGACCCAGAATCGTAACTAGAGTCTTTGGGGCATGAACATCCAAAAGAATTGACCAAAAGAACTGACCAAAGGCTGCTGTCCTTTTTCTGCATGAGTACTTCGCTGAAATGCTAGAAATACGATGAAGTACGTACTGTATTTGAATAGATATATATATATATATGTATACACACATGGACAGTATATATAGGACATGATCATCAGGAGCAGGAGCAGGGTTTCAGAAACGATTTCCATGTTGCCGGGGACCCTCTTCATCTCTTTCCCGCCTAAAAAGCGGGTCACGAGCCTTGACCACGGAGCAGCGACTTCTGACCGTCGCAGCGGGCCGTCGCAGCTGGCACCGGGCCGTATGGGAGAAGCGATTCACCACGAGCAGAATGGAAAAGCATTTCTGGTTGAGGGAGGATCATCACAAGCCACATTTTGTTGAGTGCTGAGTGCGGACTGCCAGCAGTCTTTCAACGTGGTGGTGAGCATGGGCTTTGTCAAACACGGTCCGACTAAGATTTGAGGCAGGAGTTCTGAGGAGGGGATCACCGATATACCAAACCTTCACTTGGGAGCTGTAGGGCTGTAGGACCTGCTCTGCAGGATTCAATATTTGTGACTGCCACAGACAAGGGGTGCTTGCGGGCCTGGCCTACTTATTGAACCTAGATTGAACAGATGCGTTCAACTTAATCAGAAATCAACCCGAATGCTACTAGGGGCTCCTGGCATCGCTACAATCATTTTCACTTCTAATACAGCTGATTTCAGGTTGTCGTCGATACCGACTGTCGTCGATTCTTCGTGCCGCGGACGAAAAGCGGCCCACTCCATCTTGTTTGTAGTTGGGTGTAGTTGAGCTCCTGTCCCAGTGGTCTTGGAAAGGCTTCTCAACCCTGGCAAGACCTTCTCATTTAGCCACTGATTTCAGGTATACATTGCTTCTTGATTCTTGACTGAATCTTGGGTATCAACAGTTTGTGAGGACCAGATTTGGGCTCAAAAGGGATATATTCCCTGCCAACTCTCTGCAAGATCGCTCAATATCTCATTCGCCTACTCACCGCCTCACCTGTTCAATAAAAGGAGCTAACCGCACTCAGGTCCACCTGACCAAGCAGGCAGTCCACAAACCCATCCACCCTTGTCTCTCGCAGGTGAGCCCAAACGCCGGCGCTTGTCCAACAAGGCTTTGGGCGTCTGCCGCGCGAGCGTTCCGCACGACGTCTGCCGCGCGAGCTGGTGAGCTTTCGCTGTTGGTAGGGAGGTGCCGGGTGTTCCTGGAGACTCCGGTCCAACGCTCCGCTCCCTTCGGGTCCCTACGGTGGTCATGTTTGGATTGAAGAAGCCCACCTGCTGAGCGAAGCTTCCCACTTCCATGAGACTGCTTTTGTCAAATCACATCACATGGCTACCCTAATGTGGCTGACTGGTGCTTAGTAGAGAATAAGAAAATGACCCCACACTATAGATACCTTGGGATCCATTCACTCATTCCTTACTTAATCACCAGTCAGGTTGAGGGTTGAAGAATAGACCTCCGAGATTGATGGCACATCTCCAGAAGGGGAGTCCTGGACAACGTCCGCGTTTTGGGATCAGTTGCCTTTCAGGCCCAACCACCTGGAGAAAGCCCACCACAGAAGTAGAAGTTCCCAAACATCCAAAGCGCGAATCTATAGGGTATCTGCCAGATGTTGCCAGGTTCTTCTTTTTTCCTGCATGTCTGGTTGTTGGGACAACGGTTTTGCACCATGCACTCGCGATCAGACACCTGCGCCCGTGGGCGTCCGTGCGGGCTCCCAGAGAGCCCGTCTGGATGTGGTTGCGAGGAGGGAGGGCATTTTCCTTGTCACGGAAAGG